TCCTACATGACTATAGGAGTTGTTTTGCCTTCAGTATGAAGGAGTTGGGTACTTTGATTGGACCCGGCATACGGATAGAGTTGGCTAGTGATACGCCAATCTTCCGTCGTCCCTATCGATATAGTGATATGGAAAGGGACTTGATTAAGAGTCGGACGTTGGAGTTATTGGAGGCTGGATTAGTGGAGTTGTCGCATGGTGAGTATGCTTCAGCCACTGTTATGCCATCGAAGAAGAATGTACATGGCAACTACACGGATAGGCGGATGTGTGGAGATTACCGTCCTATCAATCGGCAGACGAAGGCCGATAAGTATGCCATGCCTACACCTGAGGAGATCTTCGATGTGGTGGGACATGCAAAGATTTTTAGTACTTTGGATCTTCGGGCGGGATACCATCAGTTGCCGATTCGGGAGGAGGACAAGGCCAAGACAGCGTTTTGGGGTGTCAACTCTCACGGCAAGGATTGTTTGTATCAGTGGCGATTCTTACCCTTTGGGTTGAAGAATGCACCTGTCGAGTTCCACAGAGTGATGGACAAGATTCTAGCGGGGCTAGATTTCGTCAGATGTTACATTGATGATATCTTGGTGTTTAACGACACGGTGGAGCAACACCAGATACATTTGCAGATTGTGCTTGAGCGGTTGAGGGCTCATGGTCTGCGGTTACATCCTGGGAAGTGCAGGTTCTTCCAGGAGAAGGTGGAGTACTTGGGTCATGTGATCTACCCAGGTGGTTTGGGAGTTCAGCAGGCAAAGGTGGAGGCTATTGCACGCATTCCTCGTCCAACAGATGTGAGTAGAGTTCGTGCATTCATGGGTTTGGCGAACTATTACCGGAGATATGTGAAGGGATTCAGTGCTATAGCGAAGCCTTTGAACCAGTTGCTGAAGTCGGATCAGGAATGGCAATGGGGAGATGAGCAGGAGAGAGCTTTTGTTGAGCTCAAGGTCAGGTTGTTGGCCGCTCCCATCTTGAGGAGACCTATCAGAGGTCGACCATACCAGTTGCACACTGATTGGAGTATGTTGGGACTTGGAGCGGTGTTGACGCAGTGTGATGATGAGGGCAAGGAGTTTGTGATTGCGTACGCTAGTCGTTCGAACAATGCAGCAGAGTCGCGGTATAGTTCGTACGAGGGAGAGTGTTTGGCAGCGGTGTGGGCTGTGGCACACTTCAGGTGTTACTTGTTTGGTACGCAGTTTACCCTTGTTACCGATCATCAACCGCTCAAGTGGTTAATGGAGTCTGACAAGCTCACAAGGAAGCTTGCACGGTGGGCTCTCATCTTACAGGAGTACGACTTTCAGGTGGTGCATAGGCCTGGAGTTGCGAACCTGGATGCCGACGGTTTGAGTCGGAACCCATGCACTAGCCAGGAGGATGACACTGGAGCTAGGTGGCATGGTGAGGTTGATGAGGAGATGGTGCCTGGTTGGCATGCATCGGCCTTCATGTGTTGGTTTTGTGGAGCCTCTAGCAGTGAGGACCACTTGACATCTTACTCTAGTCAGAGAGTAGATAATCAGTCTTCAGATCCTGAGGTTGAGGATGGTGGTGTGGACTAGCGTGATGTTCACGATGATGCGTTGGTGTTGGAGTTCCTACGGACCAGTATGGTGTCAGGCACAGTGGGTGCCAAGGAGCGAGATCGTGTTCTCCAGAGGGCGAAGAGATACCGATTGGAGGGAGCACATGTTCTCCGAGTGTGGGAGGACGGTAGGGTACGGGTAGTACCGCATCCAACTCAGAGAGCACGCATTGTGAGGCATGCTCATGAGGAGTTGGGACATTTTGGAGTGAAGCGTACGTACAGCTTACTCCTAGGTCAGTATTGGTGGCGTGGTATGCATACGCAGGTGCAGCAGTTGATATCACGTTGCATGGTTTGTGATCGAGTGAGGGCATCGTTCAATGCCCCGACACCAGAGTTACATCCCTTACCTATCATGGGATTGGGTTACCGTTGGAGTTTGGACTTTGCTGGACCACTACCTTTGACTACACGACATCATCGGTATGTGTTGGTGATGGTGGAGCATTTCTCCAAGTGGATTGAGTTGGTGGCATTACCTGACAAGGCGAGTGAAGGAGTAGCATATGCTTTTCTTGACAGGGTGCTTAGTCACTTTGGTGCACCAGCTGAGGTGTTGACCGATCAGGGGACAGAGTTTCAAGTCTTGTGTGACAAGACGCTGATTGATCACCGGACTACTTCCCGAGATCATCCAGAGGCGGATGGTTTGGCTGAGCGGATGGTACAGACGGTGAAGAGAGCGTTGCGCAAGTATGGCCTACAGAAGGGACATCTTGGGGACTGGGATATTCAGTTACCATGGTTGGCCATGGGATATCGATTCAGTCGTCAAGCATTCTTGGCTTCGTTTTCACCATATTTTCTATTGTACGGCCGAGATCCAGACTTGCCTGCAGCGATTCGGCGTGAGTCTAGCGAGGTGGTGAACCTTGATGATCCAGATATGTGGGTGAGAGTGTGTTCTCAACGTGCAGTGCTCTTTCGGAGAGTTATGCCTGCAGCGTTCGAGAACCTTGCGATTGCTCATCACAGGGATACGTTGCGGTATGCAACTATTCGAGGAGGAGGTTATCGACCATCGATTCGTAGGTTCCGGGTGAGAGACTACGTCTATTTACAGCAGACTGCACCGACTACGTTGGATGTGACAGCAGGACGCACTATTTTACGAATGCAAGAGGTGTTACCTTCTGGAGTTCTCATGTTGGAGGGTCGTGACGGTGTCGTTTGGAAGGATCATGTGCGCAACTGTGCGCCATGCCACCTCCCAAACGTGGATGGTACTATGGACCCAAGCTTGGCGATTGTACGTGCCGGCTTGAGGTGCATGTTATGTGGGTCAACTGATCAGGCGGCCCATATGTTGGTGTGTGATAGGTGTTCTAGGGGATGGCACATGTCGTGCTTGACTCCACCTATCGATGTTGTTCCTACTGGACGGTGGGTTTGTCCTCGATGTACTTTAGAGGGTAGATGACTTGATCTTCACATGTTATGAATTGCAGATAGGCGACTAACGATGGGGCGACATAGCACCCGGCCTACTGGTTCGCGCACCCACGAAGGTGCATAGCATGTAGTTGTAGATAGAGCTACCTGGGAGTCAGAGGGACCTGACCGCCAGATAGGGGGGCGAGTTGTGATACCTTTGTGTGTGGACACTCTCGTTCCTTGTGTATGTATGTGTGAGTTGTGAGTAGAGCATGTCAGCGATGTATGATGTATGGCGATACTGAGTCGCACGACAGCTGTCATGGCTCGAGACGTTAGTGTGGATTTGAGTGTAGACACGTTAGGACGCGGTACACGTTGGGACGCCCTGCACGTTGGGACGCCATGCACGTTGAGGTCGTCGACCGTGGGTTATATTCAAGGCTAGCTCGAAGAACTGTCAGTTCTTCGAGTTGAGCCTTACGCGTCGGGGTTTTTCCCCTTAGCTTCGACTTTTAGTCTACCTACGAGTAGTGAGTTTGGCTCGACTCTTTGTGTATGTGTTTCGACATTCCTTTTAGTTGTGATACCTTTGTGTGTGGACACTCTCGTTCCTTGTGTATGTATGTGTGAGTTGTGAGTAGAGCATGTCAGCGATGTATGATGTATGGCGATACTGAGTCGCACGACAATGATGATAAATTTATAAACTTAAAAAATCAATAAGTGTCAAAGGATAAATATTAATACGTTTAGATTCATGACATCAATAATAATATATGATATAATTAGTAAATTTCATTGAGAATACAAAAAATTATGATATTATGAAAGTCTATAATTTGTTGCATAAAAATACTGTAAAAATATAGTAATCAAAATTAACATTTATTTTGAAGTAGACACTGAAGTTTGATCATAAGAATATAAGACAAAGGTATCTCTAGCATCTTGTATCATTATTTATTCATAATTTCATGTCAACTCCATTTTGATTAATTTTCAGTTCTTGAACATGTGCCATCAGGTTATATATTATGGCGACTTATCATCATGTTGAGTACTCCAAAGTGATGTAAACCTTGTCAAAATGAACCATTTTGTTACCACTATTGAGCTTTGTTCATCCTTGACCTAACATATACTTTCCATATAAGCAAATCATATCATATCAACAGTGTGATAATCTGACAACGTAATCATAATTTGGATCATGAAGTTAATATTCCATACGTAAATCTTGGTGTTGAAAGTTATATACAATGTCTGTATATCACATATGACAATATGATGTTTAATCCACATATACAAAACAAACACATAGCAATTTCTGAAATCTTTTATAAAATATGATATTTTGTATACATAGTTCCATAGAATTTGGATGATGGATATACAAATTGATCATTCACTTTCATGAAGTAGGAAAAATTCTGGTACATGATTGCTACCATCCGACCCTTCTAGAAAATTTGATAATGAAAACTCTTAAACTTTGTTATGAATGGGTTGGTAACTATCAGATATAGATCTACGCTAATATTAGTCCACCGCAACAATTCCTTGTGTGAACAATGGTGATGATATCTAAGGCTTTGATATGTCTTCTCAATTGAAGAAATTAAATCATACATGATTGATGGAGCGTAATATGCAAATGTGATTGCCTCAACATGAATTGGACCTGTTGATAAGAGTGATCATTTGTGGACCTCAGTGATCAAGTTAGGATCAGGTTATAGATCCATTCCATGTAGATTATATTCTTTGTAACGTTTACAGAACGATTCTCTTGCAGGTCGAATTTGAACTACACAAATTCTGAAATTCAGTGTCAAGAAGAATCAGCTAACTGGGATCATAAAGAAGTGCGGATATGATGTCAAAATTTCAATGTTAGAGAACATCATCAGAAGTTGGGAAGAATGAAGATTCAATGGAATCTTCACTGTAAGGAGCACCATACAGAATACAAGAACATGGCAGCGGCGGCAACTAAGGAGGCAAACGCTGCGGAGTCTGCTGTCTACGAAGGGCCAGGTTTCGACGACAGAATCGATGTTAGAAAGACGGACAGACAGAGAGAAGAGCGAGAGTGGATCTTTCGAGCACACAGAGAGAGGGGCAGTGAGTAAGGTGCATCCTCATGCATCACCTCGCTCGCTCAGCCCAGCGTTGGGCGAAATCGCTGATTCCGCCCAATTCTTCGTCGTCTGCGGCGGCAGCAGCAGCAGGGTCTGTTGCGCCTGTGTTTATTGATCTCTTGAGAGGATCGACCAGAGGAATCAGCTCCAGCAATTTCGCCTTGAGGGCAAAGGGAGCTGCGGTTTTTGGTGGCGGCGGCGGTGGTGGTGATGATAAGGATGGCGAAGATGAGGATGCGGATGAAAAGCCCAAAAGGGGGAAGAAGAAGATGGTGGAGATTAGTGACGAAGATATAGCCTCGGAGCCCATGGACTACATTTTTGCAGGGGTGCCCCCGGATTTCAAAGCACCCCGGTTATCTGATGAGGCCAAGGAGAAAATGTGGAAAGCCTACTCTGACAGCCCGAATGATGAGATGATCGATAAATTGGCTGAGAGGTTTAAGATCCGGAAGCAGAGGGTACATGCAATTTTGTGGTTGAAGGAGATCGAAAAGAAAGAGGAGGCTGCTCGTGGGTCTCCCTTAGAGGATGATATTGAGAAAGCATTTGAGCAGATCCACGGGTATGTACGGCACGTTAACCCTAAGTTAATTTTTTCATACCCGGAACTTTTTTCTGATCAAGGTCTTGAGAGAACCTTGTAGCTGATTGGAAAGTACGATTTGGGGATGATGCTCATCTTGGTTGTTTGCTGATGTCTCCTTTACGAATCGTGAAAGTGGAGGATCATGGTATGAAAACAGGCATCATTATCGTCCGAAGAGGATCGTCGCTTGCTTAAACCCTAATTACAGTGACACTTTTCGTGAATCTCATGATGATCTTTGATCAAATCATGTTATCTACTTTCATTCTACCGGCTGTAGCCTATACAGTGCTGGATCCGATCGTAACGAGACGTAACAAGGAGTCTTGGTTATTGAAATAGTTGAGTTATCTGAACAAGTACTACGCTTTTCACGAAGAAAACTTGCGACAGGTTACTTCGTGATTCTGTGTTTAGATGCAAGGAGAGCAGGAAATCTGCTCTTGACTGACTGAACGTTGTGTTGTGGGCACCAACATTTGTCATATGGGGCCATTTCTCGAGTCTAGACACGTTGAGCAAAGTGAGGTGTTTCAGATGCTGCTTAGTTTGCTCTAGCAGACTGCTGGTTAGCAAAATTCGTACTAATGATCTCGAAAGATCCTCGTCCTTGGGTTATTAATCGAATTCCTGGAGTATTTGCATCATTCAGTTTTGTCCTTCCGTGTGGAGCCTATGGCACATCATGTCGTATAGTTTCCTTTTAACAGCAACAGCGTCCAGTTCCATATTTTCATATTGTGACCTTTTATATTCGTGAAACTTTTTGGACATTCTTAATCATGCGATGATTCATGGTTCAGAGGCCAGTAATTACGTCCTCTGTGGCAACGACAGGGCTTACGACAGCGCAACTAATGAAAGACATTACACACTACCCCGGACTATGCCAGACTTCACTGTGCAGCCGGAGGGTTGGGAAGGTTCAGTGAAGGCAGAGGGTCAAAATATTGATGAAGTTTCGGCCAAGGAAGAGAAGATGATGGTAGAAGAGTTCGAGCATCGAATGGCGTTCAACAAGTTGCAGGTATCTGGACGCTAGATCCCCTTCATTGACTTGTATTAGTTTGAATTCGGAGTTCTGACCTTCTAGTTGTTTGAGGGCTTACATGCTCTTCGGTTTTTCTCGACAATGTCTAACAGATTTCTGGCGTAATAAAAACCGATAAGCTAAGTCGTGTGAGGCCTGCTGAAGGCTGGAGCTACCTGGTTGAAGAACTCGGTGAAGCTGGGAAAAGAGGGAGGCGAGGTGGCAGACGGTTTGTTGCGCAAGCTGATGGTAGTCACCGAGGTTTGAATGACATAGAGAAAATGTTTCTGAAGAGAGAGACTGTGAGGCCTCGAAGAAGATTAACTCCTAAGTAGAGGAATTTTAGGTCGAATTGTTCGTCTTGAATGCACATCATTCTTCACCGCAAGTTGTAAAGGCAATTTTGATGCTCAAAGATTTGTATCCCATTTGAGGGAAAGAAACTTATACGATCACCTTAGACCCAGTTTTAGAAGACTAACAAATTCACAACCTCGTACAGCCGTGAAAAGCAAGGCAGTTTCACAACAGCCAACGCAGTGAACTTCTAATTATCTGTATGTTGTTGGAACCCTTGTTCATTGAGGCTGGTCGATGCACACCTTTCCCCAGGGTCACGATTTTGGTGTGAAATTTCCCCAATCCCTCTGCTCTCCCGCCCAGTTTATCTCTGTCTGGATGCAGTCATTTGTTATCTTGTGGTGGATCGCAACTTCATGTTTCAGTTAGCTGAGGATGAGTATCCTCAATTGGAGAAGTGAAGTGAGAAGACTTGATTCTTCATAGAACCCCACATCTCCAAGTGAGGGTGCTCATCTTCATCTGATTGTGAATGCTGGTGGTGGCTCGCCATTCAACATGTAAGGTTCAATACATCTCAAGCTTTTAATGTGACTGCTTCTCGTCGCTATGTTTTGAGGAGGGAAGCTGTTGCAGCCAATTTGTAGCTAGCAAGGTTTTTAGATTTGGAGAGAAACTCGTTCCTCCTTGGAATTTGCCCCAGGTTCATGGGGTAGGAGCAAAGTTCTGGTGAATACAATATCGGCAGAAGCTGTCGTGGATACATCGGCCACAAAGGAGTGACTTCTATTGTCGAAACTCCTCATTTAGTATTATCAGTACCATGATCTAGTCGTACAGTGCGATCATCCCGCAGTCTCTTTGTGGGATGATCAGCATTAGAAGCTGAGATTGAGTGAGTAAAACAGTTTCACGATTTATTCCAACTCAGGAACTTGATTTTTGACTTTGAGGTCGAAGTGAGGTATGTGTTGCCCCACTTCATACCGGTTCACGAAAATACATGGATAACAGTTATGCACCGTTATCCCCATGTTGGAAGCAGCGCTTCTGGAATCTATATTTTGTCTTAGTGTTTCCTGTTGAGGCAACCATCTTTCTGAAACTTTCTGGTTCAGTCGTTGGATCATCACATTCGGTTTGCAAAAGTCTGTATTGTCGGGACCATCCCCAAGTAACTTTATGCCATTTTGCTATCTTGGTAGCAAGTTCTCATACGAAGAAGAGGTTGAAGAAAAGGTGAAGTCTTACATTAGAATCTACATACGTAAGCTCCTGCGAGGAACGATCGTCTGCTCCGGAGGAACTACGATTCGATAGTTCTCCGAGGAAGCTGTGTCGGGCTCGTTTTGTCACGGTGGAAGTACGCAAAGCGATGAGAGAACGAGAATTGGCCCTCTGTTTTTGTCACAGATTCATGTCAGAAGCCTATGTCACAGTGACAAAAAACCTGACTAGAAACTGTGGAACTGCCTATACTGCATCGTGATACAGTGTATAGTCGCCCGTACTTCCCAACCCACCTCCGGGCATAGTTGCAAATTAAGAAGGCCACTGTCACCAGTCCTCACACTGCGATGCATTATGGGCACACCGGTTCAACAACGTCTTGAGTCTGAGAACATTGCTGAGTAAAGATTGAAAAGTCAGAGGAATGGAACCGAATCTTCTTTCATATCGAGACGTCATAGTACAAGGAAGAGAATTCCCTGCCGATCCGAGGCCTTTGATGCCGGAACTGGCCCGGGATTTGAGCCTCACCACGTGGCAGAGGGCCGGGGGAATGATAGAGATCATGTGCTCATCCCGATCCAGCACCTACGTGCCGGGGTCAAACACTACAAGAGACCCGTTCGATGCGACGAAGTCAACAATGGACTCGAGACGCGATGATCCGGGGACGGGATCCGGGAAGTGAGGAATCGGAGGTCAACAGAAGTCTCCAGAGCATCGAGGACACGGGGCACGCCCCACCTCGCCAATGCCGAGCCTAACTGGCAGGCTCGGGCGACGGGAGAAGCGAGGACGGACGTCGTCGGCTGTCCTTTCGTGTCCGTGCCACGTCCGCAAGGCATGAGAAAAACGAAGAGGGAGGGAGGGACGGAGGCGGTGGTGCATGCCGGTGGTCCCGACGTGCACGTGGATGCCGGTGGGAGTTTGGGGTTCTCCGTCACGGAGCGCACGGTGAGAGCTCGTTCTCCTCCTTGCCGTCCTCGTCCTGCTGCCCTGGAACTCCCCCGACCTCGCCGCCTCCGTTGCATCTCTGGAAGCAGGCGAGCGGGGCCGAACACTGGGACTCGGATCGAGAGGATTTTGGTGTTCCCCCGCTGGAATGAATGCTGCAGAGAGACACGTGCACGGGACGAGAGAGGGAGGCACGATGCTTGCGAGGTGCTTGTGAATTTACAGTTGTATGCACCAGCTTCGGGATCTTTACTCGCGATTGCACATTGCGTTCGATTGCGTCCGAGATCGGGATTGGTCTGGCTCTAAGTAGACTATCGATACGAATCGAAAGTCTACTGCGACGGAGACGCGATGGATGTGAGGAACAGAAGCGTGGAGAGTGCGATCACAGACTGGGGCGAAAGAGTCAGCTCCACTGTGGTCACTCGGGCTGTAAAGGGCCATGACATTCCAGGCTCTTGTGGCGCAGGGGAAATCGGCCGATAGGAATATCGGCCCATCCCGAAAAGAACCTGAACATGGAAATTCTCGGAGACATGCTCGACGAGGGAAGCCTTGACAACGCACTCAGCCCAACGCATTTGTCTGTCAGAGGAACGTGTTGGACAGTAATGAGGCCGCAGGGGGAGGGAGACGTCCTTCACAACGCAGTGAAACAATGAGCGGGAACATGTGTCCCATTGCAATAAATCGAGCATCAGAATCGTTAGTTGCCGCCTGCCTCGAGTACCGTCCTTATCCGTAGAGAAGGGAAGGTGTCGCCCTTGCTGACTGAAGGGAAGTGGTCGAAGTTAAAACGAATGAGGGTCTTCGAGCTGATCCATCTAAAAGGAACCAAATGCGGTGGGAGTAAGAAAGAGCTGCGTTCGATTACATCCTTTCATCGTCGACGTAATTTAGATTGATGCCTCAGCTCCTGCCATACTGACTCTACTCCACAGTCAGGAGTACAGAGAGGCAGAGGAGGCAGAAAATACAGACATACGGTCTCTGGTAGCGTGATGGCAGAGCGCGAGAAAGTGCTCCGGGCAGTTGCTAATACTTATCACGGAGTCGAGAACATGACACAAGTGGATAGAAAAGTAAGCTGCCGCTGACCAGATGCGGCCTCATGTGCAGCAAAGGAGCAGCTGGATTATGAGACGTTTCAGGTTGCAAGAAACAAAAGGAGCTCGAGGAGGGTCTGACACACGAACATGGTCTCTCGGTTTGCTGGGCACAAGCTGATCGCACCGGTGATCCGCCCCGCCCCACTTGAGTGGGGCGAGCATCTGCATCTGAGAGAGAGGGAGAGAGAGCCGTGCGACGTCACACCATTGCGAAAGTGGAAACCGAAACGTTAGTGAGCACGAGTATTCTTTGTTGCTGTCTCCGACCTCGGGTCACGGGCGGAAGAGCATGCTCCCCTCCTTCCTCTTTGGGTGTTCAACACGTAGTGACCGAAAAAGCGACCAGGAGTAGGACTAGCGAAATGGATAGACATGGCGAGACCACAGGGCCAATAACACGGCAGTGAGAGCACACGAAACATACAGCATGCGGATGCATGCAGGATGCTGTATTGAGGGATAGACGAAGCGAGACTTGAGGGTACGTGTAGCAGCACATGCGGAATTGCAGTCCAATGACGATGCAGCGAAGGGGTGGGCAATCGATGAGTAGAAGAAGAGTCAAACATGGCAACTGTTGTTTCTTGTCGCGACTCCACGAGCAAACGAGACTCAGAGAGAGAGAGAGAGAGAGAGAGAGAGAGAGTATGTGTGTGTGCGAGAGAGAGAGAGAGAGAGAGAGAGAGAGAGAGAGAGAGAGAGAGAGAGAGAGAGAGAGAGAGAGAGAGAGAGAGAGAGAGAGAGAGAGAGAGTATGTGTGTGTGCGAGAAAAAAGTAATCTTCATCGGTAAAATTAGTACAAGTGGGGCCTAGGCCACGCACGACTAGGAGCATCTGAGTTTTATCTCCCGACACAAAGATACCCTTTCACAGACGACGGCCGTAGACATTTCCACTAGACGAAGGGGAGGAAGGCAGAGCTGACTCGGTGGCTCCCTTTTTCTCGAGGTGATTGATTGATTGAATATACGCAGAGATCATAGCTACGTAGATGTGTACAAAGAGTTACAGTCTAAGTGAGGTTGGTTTAGGCATCGGCGTTACGTAATTGACGATTTCCTTTGTTAAAAAAATGGTTCGATTTCCTACTCTGAACTGGTTGAGTGACCTTCGGGACGGTAACCGCTGCAGCTTCTTCTTCGTCCGAGCTCGACGACCATTCCTCTTCGGAGGATGAAGTTTCTTCCGATGACGAGGATTCCCGAGCCGTGGTAGAATTTCTCGTGGAACTATCCCCTGCTGCCAGAAGAGAGAGGACCTCTTCGAGGGGCACTTTGAGTTTGTCTGTGATTCTAATCTCCGCGTTAGAAGGTGACTCCAAATTTCTGTACAATTTGTTCACCTCTGGATCTGATCTCGATCCACTGAAAGGTACTTTTTCGTTCCTATACCGCTCCTGCTCGCGATCAGCAGCTCCAATAGCACTTCTACTTTTGTACAAGTGTGCTTCTGCTCTCGGCGGGGGCATCACGTCCACGCTTCTCTGCCGCGAATGCTGCGCCCTGCCGGGCGGGGTGTTGCTCTTGTCGAACAAGCTCAGCCTCTCGGGCATGGAAACGTTCGGATCCACGATGCCCAGCCTCTCGGCGGCCGAAGCTTTCTTCTCGGGAGTGCTCAGCTCGGACAGAGACATCCTTCGCTCGTGGCCGCGAAACCTCGTGGGCAGAGAATCGCTATGCTCTCGCCTGTGCTGCGTTCGAGACGGGGAAGCTATGTCCTCGCTGGGGCTGGCCCGGACGGCGAGCAGCTGCTCGTCCTTCTCCAGCCGTCGAAGCAGAGGCGAGGTCCGATCCGCACTCCTCCCGCCGATGAATCTCTCGGGAGACGACCTGGCATCGTCCCTCGTTGGCTGTCTTGCCTGTGCCACAGTCGCCTCCTCTACCACTACCTTGTCCCGCTTCCTGTTCCACCACGAGGTCCTGCTTCCCGTGGCCTTCTCCTTCTCCCTCTCCTTGCTCGATTGCGCCAACGCCTTCTCCCTGTCCTTCGACGGAATCCGGAAGAGATTTCTCTCCGGAGACCGAAGATCTTCGGACGAGTAGCCGCTGTCGTCCAGCGACACCGAAGGGATGGAGTAGCTCTTGCCGTGGGAGATTAACCTCGCGGTCGCCTTCTCCGAAATGCCAGGACTCCTGGGCTTCTCGAATATGGAACCCGGACTGAGTGCCTCTGGCGCCGGAGCAGGAGGGGCGGGCGAATGGTCGTCCTTCGCTCGCTTCTTGGGCCAAGACAAGGAGAATTTCTTCTCGGGAGATCTTAGATGTCTGTCGAGCGTGGACGTCGCGCCCAAGCCGATCTCTCCCGACGAATCGATGATGGGGCCGGACAGCCCTCTCTTCTCCGGGGTGTGCGCTGTCTTGCCTCCGCTGCTGTCGGACGAGAATTTCTTCTTCAAGGGGAGAATGAATCTGTCTCTGAACTTATCCGTGCCCGCCTCGTCCTTGCCCGACAAGGCCTTCAGAGCCGGAGAGCCCTTGACGCGAGGAGTCGACCCTTCGGCCGTCGCCTCCAGAGCGATGTCGGCCTTCTTGCCACCGGCATTCGCTTCCGTCGAGAACACTTTCTTCAGAGGCGTCATCAGCCGATCCTTGAATCTGTCGGTCGAACCGACCGGGGGCTCCTCTTCCGCCAGAGCAGCCAACGCCGCGGTGGCGGCAACCTTTTCCTTGGATGCTGCTGCTGCTGCTCCCTTCCTTTCATTCGAAGAGCCGGATTTTCTGCCTCCTTCCGATTCAGAAGCGAACACCCTCTTCAACGGCGAAATGAATCGCTCGCGTTTGATGTTGAGAACCGATGACAGGCCCTTCCTCTCGTGAGGCTGGGCAGGCCCGGGCTTCCCCGAGGTGTCCTTGTCTTTGCTGCCCACGTTCCTGACAGCGGACATCACCTTCTTCATGGGCGACATGTAGCTGTCGGCAGCGTCCTCGCTCTTCTCGGGGTCAATTCCTCGCCTCATCGGGGAAATGTGCCTGGGCACCTTGGGGCTGTTGACGGCGAAAATCTCAGGCTCGATGGCCTTGGGCGCATCGACCGAGGCCAGGGCCGTGACGGGCCTGCTGCTGCTGCTGCTCGTGCCGGCCCCGTCCTTGGTCGTGGCAATCTTGGCCCAATTGTACTTCTTGGACAGACGAGCCGTGATTTCTTCCACCGAGTCCATGTTGTGGATCTTGGTCCATGGCTTCCTCCTCGTGCCCACACCGGCCTCGGTGTCGGTGTCCGAGTCGTCGCCGCCGCGCTTCTTCTTCTCGGGCAAAGAAGCGGCCTTGCCAAGAGTGGCCAGCGCCATAGCGGAGGCGCGAACTCCTTCCTCCGGGCGGCCGGACGCTGGCAGCGACGAGCTCTTCTTCAGCGACAAGTATTCTTTCATGTACTCGTCGAACTCCTCTTCCTTGTTCGCCTTCACCCACGCATTCCTCGAGTCCGTGGAGTTGCGCACGCTCGGCGTTCCGACAGACGTCGGAGACCACATCATGGCTTCTTTCTCGCCATCGTGCTTCTCTTCTCTGATGTTCAGCGACCGGATGCGTCGAGCGACGTCCGGCTCCATGTAAATCCTGGCCCCCGAGCCGACCTCGCCCGCCTCGCTGCGGCTGCTGAAAGGAATGATTTCGTTCGCGCCCTCGACGTCCCCCGCGACATCCGGACGCGAATTCGAATTCGACTCGGATGTCGTAGCGGGACCCGGCAAATTCTTCGCATCCTCAGTTAAAATCTGCAATTGATCCGTCGCTAAATCATCCCTCCGCCGCTTAGCATTGAGACGGTCGACGACTGTGCTCGTTCCATCGCTGGTCTGAACAGCGCCAAGATTTTCGCCTTCTTCCACCTTCACATCGTTATCAGACTTCCTCCTATCTACCGAAGACCTCGCATCGATGGATCTTGTGCCGGAACCCGAAGCATCCGAACCCTCTCCTTCACGGGCCAGTTCTTGCTCCTGCTGCTGCTGCTGCTGGGCTCTACTACCATCGCTCCCCGGCTTAATAGAATCGCCGACCAAACTCGAGCCGCTGCTCTTTTCTTCAGGACCTTGCAGCCGATCCCTTCTCTCCAGAATTGAATTGCCAAATTGCGTGGGCTCCGAACCGAGGTTGCGCTCGTCTTCAATGCTCCGGCTGCTTATTGTAGCTCTCCCCACTGTACAAGACCCATCGCCTACTCCGCCTGATACGCAAATGTCTTCCAATCGTTCTTTGGACTTGTCCTTCTTGGCCGACAACCCCAACATCTGGTCGGAGTCCAGCAGCACATCCAGCCCCACTTCCGTCTTCGTCGGACCGGAGCCTTTCACCTCCACTACCTCGCTATGCAATCTAACACCATCGCCTACGCCTCTCTCCTGCGGATGCCCTGCAGCTGAAATGTTATTACCTACCTTGCTTGATTCGTCTACGAATATGACCTTCTCGAACTCGGCCGACCTGTCAATTACCAGCTCTGCGACCAATTTCTTGCTGCCTGCATCGGCTCCTCCACTACCACTACTCGTCCTTCGACCGAGCTCGTGCTCGCCCGATCCCAACCCTGACCCTGACCGACTGCCGGCAGTGGGCTGCTGCTCGCCCTCGGCCCTGCCTGAGACGACAGCAGGCTCGTCGGTCGCGCTTTCTTGGGCATCAAGAAACGGAGAGTCCGTATCCATGTCCTCGACGTTGTAAGCAGTGGGCTCAGGCTTCATCATCCGAGCCTCGGCGACCCTCTCGTTCATGGAAGGAAGACGCATTGGAACAGGGGTGCGAGTTGGGTTCTCAGAAGCATTTGGCGAGCCGGATACTGATGATTGTGAAGCATCCTCGGGAGGCGCAGGAGCAGCAGGACCCGAAGGGTCACTGCTCGTCTCTGCTACGGCCTCCATGGGAACCAAATTGGTGGGATGTGAACGAGACAATCTTACTTTTTCCGACAGAGCTTCGTTGCCGACTGCGGCTATCTGTGCCGAAATGCTCGCAAGAGATCGTGCCGCGCTCGCCGTCCCCTCGGAAGAAGAAGGAGACATGGCATCGCGCAGGCTCGAACTCATCGTCGTCCGCGATGGCCCAGCAGCAGCAATTGCTGCCGCTGTTGCCACTCGGGCCGATTTGACGGGAGGATACTGTGCGGCAACGGGACTCGCATTGTCGAGCGATGGTGGTGCATGGCCCCCGTGCTCCTGTACAAGACGCTGGGCGACTGCGCCACCTGCGACTCTCGATGCCTCGGAACCCCCATCCCCTCTCCTTTCTGCTGCGACTGCTGCGACATCTCCCAACTTCGGTTGAGAAGACGGTGTCGTCGTCGTCGAAGTCGAGGGATTGGCATCCGCCTTTTGGTTTGAAGTGGCAGGCACCTTGTGTTGGATCGTCTCTGCAAGGACGTGCAGACCAGAGGAAACCGGTTTTCCCACAAGTTTGCTCGGCGTGGCAGCAGCCAACACATCCACGACTCCTGCTGCTGCTGATGGTGCACCAATTGCATCACTCTCGTTCGGTGGCAGAACAATGCCGGGGTGAACAACATCTCCGACGACGCTCTGGATTTCTTCTTGCAGGGCTCCAATGGGCACGTGCTTGCTGCTGCCGGCCAATGTAGGTTCGGGTGCACCAATTGATTTGTCGGGGCCCTCGTGAGCTCGGCGATCGTGCTCCTTCGCTTCCTCCTCCTCTTCGTCTGCGGGTTTGCCGTACTTAATTTTGGTGGGCTTTCCTGACAGAGGGAGAAAAGGAGGGTCAGACGGAACAGAAACCTCATTCTCGTCGTCGTTATCATGAATCACCTTCCAATTGAATCTATCGTCGGGCTTGCCTTTACTGAACCTGCCATCGACCCAGAGCCGCGTCTTTTCCTCCGCCTTCCTCACCCATTGAAACCAGCTCTGGCGAGCTGGCTTCGATTGCTCTCGCTCCACCTGCTCCGACTGCCAGCGACGGACGTACGGATCGTCCTCCGTCTCCGGGTTCTCGCCCATGTTCATGCTTATCAGAGCAATTGCACATAGCGCCGTGGAGATGAGAAGCGGAGAGAAGTACACGACCACGGGGAAAAGAGCTGGCGTGAACAGCAGCAACACCAGGCAAGAAATGAACGGATGATTCCATATCAGCGCCACGAAGTCCCATACTCCCACAGCCATCTTCGTCTCTCGGCCTGCCTGCCTGCCTGCCTGCCGGCTCGATGCTGCTGGTGACGATAAATAAATAATGTCGAGATGTTCGTCACTCTGTCAAATTTCTTCTTCTGCTTCTTCTGCTTCTTCTTCGGCCGCGACTTTTACATGTACAATTTGAAGACGGCGAAAGAAGATGATGATGATGATGATGCTGCTGCTGCTGCTGCTGCTGATGCTGCTGATGCCCTGCCTGTGGCCAGAGAGTTTATAGAGGCGCTATCGGTGGATCAGTCTATCCTTTCAAATCTGCTCGTGCATCTATCTATACGCTACGCGCGGGACTGAGCTCAGATCCGCTCAACGGTCTACATTAGAGTGGCTCACCATGGACCTCACGGCCGATAGGCTGTCAAGAGACGCTGTACAGGGCGCGGGGGATGCCTTTACAAGCCCCGAGCCATTTCACACTGCGCTCGCTGGCCGTCGGCGGGCACCAGCTCGCTCTCGGCGGAATGGCCGCTGCCGTCGTGGATTTCTCGTATGCTGCACGGGCGGCCGCAACTCGCTTCGTATGGTTCGATCGACCCGAGTCGTCGACTCTGTCTGGCCTCCTGCTTCATCGCACCCGCACGCACTGACACCGACGCCGGTGTGCGTCTGCGCTCTCTGGACTCGACTCCGCCTTGTGCTTCCTTCCGCAGTGTTGGTGGTGTCTGTCTGATCTTTTCTCATAAATCCTCGCTTTCTGGTCGACGACTAGTCTTTTTTCTTTTCATTCGCTCCGTCTGTCTGTCTGTCTGTCTGCCTGCCTCTCTTTCTCTCTCTCTCTCTCGCTCGCTCCCTCCCTAACTCACTCACTCTCTCACGAGGTTTGAAGCACTCGTCAGTCTGAGCGAGAGACTAAAGGCCTGCGCCGGGGGGTCTCTCTCGGACACCCTCACGTTCTGGCTCGATGTGGATCTCGCGAGCTCCCTCGCGGGACCGAGTAAAATATCGACACAGGCACCAGCACCTCAAGTTTTTTTTTATCACAGCTCACCCGGACTGATCGTCCATTCACCCTCCTCAGGCTCCCTACAACTTTTTACAGAGGGTCGGCCACGACAGCCAGCATGGAAATACACAAGAACCAAATTGTGCAGCTCTGATCAGAGTAAAAGATGACAGAGGCGCTCTGCAGCCAGCAGACAAAATGCTTTAGCTGCTGCTTGCTAGCAGTCCTACGGTACACGCAGGACTCGGCAATGACAGGCTTCAGTCATCGGTCAGAGTGTTGTACTGTCCTGCGTCGCCCCCTTCTTCTCCCCCTCCCCCTCCCCACTTCCCCCACAGTGCACTCACTCTCTCGCCCGACTTCTTCCGAGCTCTGTTGCGCCCACTCTGGCCCACCTCCGAGTCCTGACATCAATTTCGCAACAATTCTCGAATTTTATCTCCTCCTTCGTGTTTGTCGCCGCACCCTCGCCCGGTGTTCGCAAACTTCTCCTTCGGACCGAGGCCCCTTCGCGTTTACGTACATGTACACGCCACGACCATCGCGTGCTCCTCCGCCTACGCTACAGTTTAGGTATCTCTACTCCCTAACCACACCATCCGACTCTCGCCCCATCCATCCAATCCCCGGGTCACGCCGGCTCCGAGCCCCAACTCAACCCGAGTTCCCAACCCAACCCAACCCGACCCCGGCCCGACCTACCCCACCCCACTGCGCAGATCATATCCGTGCCGCAGGCTCGGTCCAGGTTCCAGGGACTCCGCTTCCGTCCGCCGCCGACACGTGGTCGCCGATAAACGTCGGGACAGCGTGAGGATATTTACCGCGGACTCACTGCGTTCGAGTGCGGGGGCGTGGTAGGGAGTTTAAAGTAGTCCGTTTCAACGGAAGGTCGCCGACGCGGTGGATGGGGCGTTACTCGGAGCATCGGACGGCGCTCGTGCATACCGATCCTGACAGGCGCGGGCGATAAGGATGAGGCGATCCGCCTCAGATCCAGAAAAGGGGCGCTGCGAGCGGTGGGTGGAAAAGCGAAGCGCCCGAGAGTTACAGTCCCCTGGCCTTCGCCACTTCGTCGGCCCCCAACGTCTCGATTCGGTTTCTGGGTTTTCGAATGTCCGCTGCTTCCACTCCCGTCCGTCCAGCGTCCATCCGGCGTCCGTCCATGTGTCCGTCGGTTTGCCTTCCTCTCGGGAGGAGAGGAGAGGAGAGGAGAGGAGACGAGCGTACAGGACTCGGTCCGCTTGACTCGATGACCGCTGCCGCTCGTTAACTGTTAACCGGTAAAAGTCCCCCTTTCTCTTTACTTCTCCCTTCGGGCAGTTATTTCGTGACGAGATAAAACCAAAACACGAGAGAGTACACAACGAGATCGATTCCCCCTTTATCCAGCAGGCTCCGGTGTACAGTTCTCTTGCACCCTTGGACCGAGGACAGAGGGGTGAGTGCACCGGTCGTGAGCTAAAAGTGCTTTCTACTTGACCTCCTCCTGTTCGGCTGCGCGAGCTCATCAGCCATGGCAGTTGAAGGCTCAGAGAGAGATGGGTTTTTTCTAAAGGTCGTTTCATGTATTCCGGAGATGTTCCCTATTCTTCCTTCAGGTGTTCATATTATTGCATCCTTAAGTCATATGGATAGTGCAGCCTTTTGTCCAGTGCTCGTTCCAGGTGAGTATGGCCACATGCAACGAACCCAGCATGCGAATCTTCCCTCTTGTCGACGATAATGTGAGCTCGACACGAGAGAGAGAGAGTAGACAGTACATAGTGATAAGATTACGAGGACTCATGGAAGAGTGAGGTAAGACCTGAATGAGACGCTTGGAAGTCAATCTGATCTCACAGGATCCTAAGCAACCATAATCCAAAAGCCACAGACTTCGTACACAGCTTCAGTTTCACAAGAAATACCTTGGCTCTAGGTCATTGTGAAGGGCATATCTTGCACTGGATCAGATACAACCTGCCTGTTCCAGATTTAACGAACTCCATGACTCGATAAACCTCTGAATCATTTTAAGGTAATATCTAAGCTTGGGCCAAAACACTACCCGCTCCAGCTGTGATTAGTGGATTCTCAATAGATGCCTTGATGACGATCACTTGTATTGGAAGACCACTAAACACTAGGCGGGGACTTGTGTCCTGTCCTTTGTTGGCGACATAAAACTGCTTCATCTTCTTGCAATCAGCTCGCTACTGACTGACGCGCAGAAGGGCAAGGCTCGGCCGAAAGTGATCGATCAGATAGTTCCCCTGGTAGGAGTAAGTGCTGATGGATCTAGGCAGAGAACGTGGAATTGTCAACCGGGGAGACATAAATGCCGACAGACAAACGCTTCACGACTTTGTGTATTCTTGGTCCATGACTGCATCCATGTCTTCCGTCCTTTAAACCTCGTCCCTCGTCTCGTCGGGCTACCGGTCGTCCATGTCTTCGAAAAAGACGAGCTCGATTCGGCTCGTTTAGCTTTAACTTTAACTGCAGTCATGCCAATGGAATGGAATGGAAGTGAACCCCACAAAGAGCACCGAGGAGTGCAAACATCAACAGCACGAGACAACCAGTACAAGGCTGTAAAAGCTGGCTAGCGAAACACGATGGGCAGCCATGAAAGCTACGAGCAAATCTCGTCCACAGGAGCGAAGAAATGTGGCAATAAGCGTCGAATATATTAATCTCCGTGCCCGGCGAGCACCGAATTCGGATTGTGATCGAGAATGGGATTCACGTGTCTTTGGAGGATTGCATGTGCTTGGGACGGCTTTGGACTCCTTCCTAGACCCCGGCCCCGGTTGATAATCTTTGGATAAAGATGACGGGAAAACATTCTCTTAGTGCGAAGGCGAAATACTTCCTCGAAGTGACGGAGATAACTATTGCTCTTAAAAAGCGAAGCAGCCAATTGTGCATTTGCATGATTTGGCTAATGCTGCTGTCTTCATCCGGACGTAATACCGTCTAATTTTTAAAGTTATCTTTCTACTGGATTTCGTATACACTGCGCGATGGCCTTTACGAGTGTAAACTTGTAACTTTTGAAAATTTGAAATACTTTGTTGTTGGCCAGTATGCCAATTAATAAAATACATCATAAGAAGATGAAGAGATGATGAAAAGGTAAAAGTACTCAGGTATTTGCGCTAGATTTCAACAGCATGTCGGAAAGTTATGCAATTTCTCAATACATTCTTCATGTAAAATACATCTTAGGCATATATATTTTATTTATAGTACATATTATTTGAACTGGTAAGTCTATCGCCGTAAAATTGGATTTTAAATCACAAAGACTAATTTTTTTAATTTTAGTGATGAGGATAATTGAGAAATATTTACACGTGATTTATCAATTATATAATATATTATGATCACTTTGAAAATATATGTATAAAGATGTTGAATGTTGAATATCGATCAATCTGAACATTCCTACTCCTGTAGCCATTTAAAGAGTACTTCAAACTGAAATGATCTTCAAATTGTAGATGTCATGTCTTCCGTTCTAGAACATGAGAATGTCCTCGCCATTACATAAATCTGCATTGCATAATGACGTCAGACGTTATTGCAGTTGATAAATACAGTTCATGAATGAAGAGCCTGTCCATTGAAGAGCCTCTCCACAATAAATGCAATGATTATGCAAATTGTTGGTGGAAAATCTTGTTCATATAACCCAGTGTAATTAAGACGAAGAGCTCAGGAGTTTATTCGGAAGGGTAGACATCTTTATCTCTGATACCGAATATATTTATAATTAATTTTGCTTACAGGGAGAGAGTCGCGGTCAAAGATTAAATGATTGAGAAACACATGTCTATGCACAGTTCTCACTCTCACAGTGACAGACACTGGTTGCGCACTATATGCTCACTGTTGCGAAAACTGCGGAAAAGACTATTCGTGGCCTCCAATTAAGATGCTCTGGTAAATCTTCCGGTAATCATGTTGTAAATCACCTCGTTCCAAAAATTGATTATTACAATTAGCCGTCATGGGGAAGAACGCCAAAGAAAGGCTAGTTTCATTGACCTCTGGAGAAGAAAATGAAGTTGATTGAGTGTGTTTTTAGTGACAAGTCGCAGCAAGCATCGAAGTGGTCCAGTGAGCCCACTGAGATCATGGATAAGCAGATTTGATCAAGGAGTGAAAAAGGGGCATCCTGAAATTCAAGGGAGAATCTTCGCTTTTAGAACGAAAAGTCTGTGATAGATCGATACGTAGATGTTTACGAGGTTTATCCTCTTCTGGATAAATGCACCGTCGCTCGATGCCCCTAGAGAGGTAATCCAAACCATAGCATTGCCGTGTTGCAATAAGATCATCTTCTAATTGCAAGTGGGTCACTTTGACCTTCTTCTTCATGAAGTCAGTCAAATTCAAGATGACTAGCTCTTAAGTAAAATGTCAAAATGGCCCTCTTCTCTACTACGTACAACATAGTTGATCACTGGTAATTACTCACGGTGTTCATTAATAATGTAAAGATAGCATTTTCATGGAATTAGAATGACACTCTCGAAAGTCACCTTTTGGGAATAAATGTCTTAATTTTGGAATCGTTTATATGAGGATAATCAATATCCTCGTGTTTTATCCGATAATGAATTAAATTTCATAATTTTATTTTAATAATAATGTAAAGAAAACTATCAAATGTAGTCAATAAAGTTTTTCCAAAAATAAAATAAATTGGAGTGAAGGATTGCGATCTCGATTATAAGATATAATCATATTCAACTGCCTTGTTAATATATTGTATGATCATAGACTTTTTAAGAGATATTTCAGAAATAAAGTATTATTATGTCCTGAAAGCAATTCTTATGATGGAATATTTAATGATACAATGTGGATCGATAATGAGTCAAAAGTCATCACATGATGTTCATATAGGTGTTGTGACATCCGTACACTAGATAGGTTTCGTGATGAAGCAATCTAGTCGCTACATCCTTTTGAATGAAACTGGTGAAATAATTGTTCGAGGGTAAGTGATCACTAAAATCAAGGATGTTCTTGAAACAAATGACACTTTGTTTTAGAGATCTACGCTACCTGGGACTACAACAACTGTAAACTGCAAAGCAGTATGTGTATAGTATTCACTGAACTGCATCACCATGAAAGAATCACAAGAAAGCTGCCCCTTCTCTTATTATATAACACATGTTCAGTCTACTGAACTATTTTAATCAACCCAGTATCTCGTAATGCATTATGAGATTCTATGCCAGAACCCCGTGGTACTCTTGTCGGTATGATATCTTAATATTCCGTTACACTATAAAACCCAGAAAAAATAGCAGAAATCATGTATTGAACAATATCGACAAAATAGTTTCTTATAGCCATGACGGAAAAATCGAGAGCTTCGCTCGCCGCATATGTCCCATACTTTTCCATTCGACACGGCATGCCACGTATGTCGAGGCATGGCCACATGTGTCCACGTGTATCAACACGACCTAAGATCGGGCGGGGCTTATGGTAACGATCTCTCTCAGTATTACCAAAATAATTTTAGCCAATCAAATAATTGATAGATTAAAATGTATTACCGAACCCATAATTTTCTTTCTCCATCTGTCTCCTGGCCATCCTGACCTGCGCCTGATAATGAGTAGAAAGCGGTTGTTTAAATCTTCGCAAGTGCTCAATTATAACCCACGCAATATGTCGTTGTAAAATTTAAATACTCACCTCCCAAAGAGCAAGCGATCGTCAGAAGCAGATGGCTGCAAATTGAGTACGAGGATTATGAACACCTCTCCTCCTCCTCCTCCTCCTCGTATCATGGACAGAGTCCCT